TTTTTTTAAGATTTTATTTATTTTTTTTGACAGAGGGAGAGAGACAGCGAGAGAGAGAACACAAGCAGGGGGAGAGGGAGAGGGAGAAGCAGGCTTCCCGCCGAGCAGGGAGCCCGATGCGGGGCTCGATCCCAGGACCCTGAGATCATGACCTGAGCTGAAGGCAGATGCTTAACGATTGAGTCACCCAGGCGCCCCACATAGTTTCACTTTTTAATTTTGTTTCTTGTCTGTCTTCCCCCACAAAAATGTAAGTTCCACAAAGGCAAGGATTTTTGTCTGTTCACTGCCATATCCCCATCATCAAGAGCAATGCTTAGGATTTGGCAGGCTGATAAATCAGTACATTGTAATCAAACACTTTTTGAACGGCCTGACTCCGTGCATGCAGAACAGGCCTGATATACAGCTGCAACTGTGCTACTTAGGAGGCCTCTCCCCAGTTGACTTTATCCCACCCCCAAGACCAGAGGCACCTCGGCAGAGCTCTTCCAGAGCCTTCCCTGGAAAAGCCACTGCCTCCATCCTGATGACAGGCCCCACCCAAGAGAAAAGGGAGGAGTGAGCTCAGGGTTCTCAGTCTCAGCCACTGGGTAAGTCTCCCCTCCTCTCTGGGTATGGTACCTTCCTATTCCCCAACTCCAGCTCCTCATTTTCTGGGGGAGAGTTAGAAGGACAGAAGGAAGCTCCTGGGTCCTTGGAAAATAGATGGCCCTACCCTCAGTGGAACTTGGAAGAATGACAGATGACTGTTTCCCTATCCCAATACTCCCTAGCATCTTGTTTGCTTACCTAGTTTGGCTTCACATGGCAGTGCTAGGTAATGCTAACAGAATGTGCCCTACATAAGGTGCCTGCTCCGTCTCTCCTCCCCACCCCCCCACCCCCAGTCAGAGCAGGGGAGAGAGAGCAGGGAGAAGGGGGGGCCTCCAGCCTTGTGCTCTTCCCTAATAGAAACGGTCTCATCAGAAATGGAGGCAAGAAGCGTTAGGGAAAAGTAAACAAGAAAGGTACTCACTTCCAAGTGAACATGCACCCCGTGGGCGGAACGGACCTATAAATGACTAATTCCAAGAACATTAGATTAACATCCTCCTACTCTATATTTTGATTTAATGGAAACTCAGCTCAGTGAAACTGAAAAGGTCTAAAGGTTAATTTGATAAAACTGATCACTCAATTAAAAGGTGATGTTCCTTTAGGAACATTATACATTAACCTTTTAAGCTAGAAATTGACAGTATGGTTATTCTATTAGTAAAAACAGAAACCAAAGAAGTTTTCCCCCAACTGGTACTGTTTTGTTGCCAAGACATTGCAGAAAAGGTACATCCACCAGAAGGGGAGACATTATTTTTAATTAAAATCATTCAAGAGATCCAGCCAGAGGCTACCTCCGTTGCATGCTGTTCTGCTCTAGTAAAATGTCATTACTAAAAAAAATTAAATGGGTCAATAAAGTCTGAGCTCTACATTATGGAAAAAATTACAGCTTCCTAATTATGTCAAACTAACATAGCTTTATGGGTCTGAAGGCAATTTTTCTTTCAATTCCATGCTCATACTCCATCCAGAATGTTCCCGGCCAAGGCCAGCACACTGCACTGGGAAGCAGGAGCAGTAAACAGGCAGGCTGCAGACCATCCACCACCGGCTGGAGGGGAACTTGATGGGAACCAAGAAGGGCAGCCCTTCTCTATCCGGAGAGAACGCAGGTCACTGAGGAGATGCCTGCTCCCTAGTCCTCATGTTTCTGCATGAATCAGCTACCCTGGTGTGACCCCAAGTGCCTTCCTCAGCCTCCTGGCAGGGGAGAAGGGGGACTTCTCTGATCGGTAAGCTGGCCGAAGGAACCAGGCACAGACAGGGACATGCACACGCACCTAGCCATGGCTCCTTGCTCTCTCCTCTTTGGGATCTGCTTGCTTATAGACAGCAGAAGCCCTGCTGTCCTCTCTCTCATATGCCAGAAAGGGGGCTGCTCCCGATCTCTGTGCTCCAGGGACTGTGACTGTTCAGTGGCAGGAACGGCTGAGTGAGTCTGTCTAATTCCAGAGCCTTCAATAAGGCCACCCACTCTCAGACCTAAGCTCTGCCTGCCACCCTAGATTTCACCAATGATCAAGCTGATCACTCGTCCATCTCCATCATGTTGACCTGACCCCCTGCATCCCAACTCTCTCCCTTCTTCCCTCCCTCCCTCCCACCTCTCTCTGGCAGGAAGAAGAGGTGTGTTCTTTTCTAACTGCCCACCCCTATAACTTCAACATAGGTCACATGGGGTTCCAGTCCAGTTACCCTTCACCAAGGAACTTCTCTATGTCAGGAACTTGCACACATCTCTTCTAATCCTCAGAAGAGCATCATCCACATTGAAAAAAGAAAACAAGGACGAGATGGGAAGTGAGCTCTAGACACTCACATGACTAATACCTGGCAGAAGTGGGGCTGAACTTAAGTGTCACTGACCACCCCCACCCAAGCCCCTGCTCTGTCAAAAGGACCATAACAGGGGCAGGAGTGGAACACAGAATGCATGAGTTAGCAATGAACAGCTGCCACTGGGAAAAGGAGTAAAAGACTGAGCTTCCATAATAAGGTGATGGATTCGTCAAGACTAAGAAAGCCTCAGGAACTAGAGTTCTATCTGATGCTCAAGCCACAAGACCAGTAAGAGGCAGAGCAGGACCGGCCCCCAGAGATCCCAGACATCAGTCTGAGCATCCGCTGCCGGTAGCTGGAAAAGAGGAAGCCCTGGCCAGCGGCCAGCTATCCCAGGTGACATCAGGGAGTGGATTCGGAGTGGTCTGCAAACATGGACACATAGTGTGTGGGAGCTGAGGAGAAATAAATGCCTTAATATCACTATTCTAATCATAAGTTTAAAACTACTGCAGAGTTCCAGAACAGCACCCTTATACAATAATCTTATAAATGCAAGGAAATGCGTTGCATTTCAATGATACCGTCTTATGTGAATCTCTCAACTAGCCGGGGAGGGATTATCAGCCCCTCTGTTTAGAGCAGGACTCCACAAGCTTTTTTTGAAAAGGGCCAGATAGTAAATACATCCGACTTTGCAGGCGATGTCGTCTGTCACAGTCATTTAATTCTGCTGCCGTAGTGCAAAAGCAGCCAAAGATAACACGTAAATAAACGGGCTTGGTGGTGTTCCCATAAACTTTATTCAGGGACACTCAAATGTGAATTTCATTTAATTTTCATATGTAGTGAAATCTTGTTCTTTTCCCCCAGCTGTTTAAAAACTATTCTTAGTTCACAGGCTGTACAAAAACAGGCAGCAGGGTGGACTTGGCCTCCAGGTGGTCATTTGTTGACCCCTGGTTCAGAGACGACATTGGGTTTTACAGCTTTACTTTCTCAGGTTCACAAGGCCAATAAGGGAGTGGGGTGGCCTGTACTAAACCAACATTTAAAACATTCGCCTTGTTAGATGCCTTTTCAAGGCAAAGGGAAGTGAATAATGGATTTCCATGAAAGGCCTCTATAAAAACTTATGTAACCTAAGTTGTCAGGTACTCCAGAAAAAGGAGCTGGACAGCGAGGTTTATGCAAGTTTTGTTAAGCTTCCCAAAATGACTACAGCTTCCATTTTTATGGACTATGAAATTAGTACTTGATATCCATGTACAACTCTGGAAATGAAATTCACACTGCCATCTAGTGTTGAGCTATCACTTTAACTGAGAACTTAAAAATAAGGTCTTCTTTACTATGCACTAAGAGTAATTCACTACATTCCAAAATTATACAATGAAATACACTTAGAAGTATAAAGTTGCCGATGATGACATTTCATATGTCCCACCCAACCTTCTCGTTAATTCACACAGGACACTGGAAGTGCAGTCCTATGGTAGACGGGCCACACCATTACCAGGTGCAAAAGCGCAGGGAAGCACAGGGGACAAGTATCTGCTCTGTAATGCTCCTGCATCTGCTGAGAGCTGGAGTCTATTCCAGAACCCATTTTGGAAGTCTCAATCAAAATGCTTTTCTCTTTTGAAAAAGCAACCTAACCAAACCCTCTCTAGATGCAAGAGTTCTTGTCATGCGTGTTTACATGACTTGCACGGTTCCAACCTTTGTTCAATAAGCACGTACTGAGACACCGGTGTCTCATTCGTGTCTACGTGTTTCATAACGTCTATGGTACATACAGAGATACAAACACGTGGGAGCATCAGCAGAGAAGATCACACTGTGGGGATATCGTGACCCCAAGGGCATGCGGGCTAGCAGAGCCTACCGTGGATACAGGAGCTCCTCCTGTCTGCTCTGCATATACCACCACCAAACTGATCCTCCCCAAGACAACTCTGAGTTAGTAAGTAAAAAGTAAGGATAAGAGGCTCAATAGAAATACAGATGTGGGGAAGAATTCAGTCACCAAAGCCACGGTAAAAAATATGCACTTACCTATAAGCATTAATATAATCTTTCCTGTGTTCCAGAAGAAAATCTCTCAGTTTGCCAATGTGTGAAATCTAGAATCAAAAGAAAGCAAAGAGTTATATGGATAGATACATTACACTCACCTGCAATAAATTTTAAATTAATAGAGGACAGAATGCAGGTTCTAGACAAATTTTGAAGCTACAAACTGGACAACTTTGGTTTTGGATTCTCATATATAGTTGAGCCTTGAACAATGAGGGGTTGAGGGGCGCCAACACCCCCGTAGTTGAAAATCCTTATATAACTTTTGACTCCCCCAAAATTTAACTATTAATAGCCTGTTGACCAGAAGTCGGTTAGCACGTATTTTGTATATATATCATATACTGTATTCTCATAATAAAGCAAGCTAGAGAAAAAAAAATGTTACTAAGAAAATCATAAGGAAGAGAAAATCCATTTATAGGACTGTACTGCATTTATCAAAATAAAATCCACATATAAGTGGGCCCACACAATCCAAACCCATGTTGTTCAGGGATCATCTGTCATCACTAACTTGTTGGTTAACTTCCCCAAAGTCACCCACATTCCTGGGCCTTGGTCTCTCATTGACAGTTCCCTCTTCCTGTAAGAGTTGTGATATGATCCAAGATGTTAGGAAGGGATGATCTCTAAGGAACTTCAAGATTAAATGAGATAATGCATGTCTAGTAACTATCCGCATGTGCTCAATAAAGGCCAATTCCTTTCCTTACGTGTCTTATATCTAAAATTTTATAGACAAATACTCCTTTTTCCGAGTGTCCTGGGGATGGATGCTAAGGCTGGAGAAATCAAGTTTATAGAAAGGGCTCCACAGAGCAGCAGAGTTAAAAGCTTCAGGGGCAACGTTGGATCCCACCCAACACAGCAAACCTCCATCTTCCCGATGGCCTACTTCCCCAGATGAACAAAAATGACACAAAGGTATAAAGGACTCTATTTGTGATGGCTGGTATCTAGTATAATAAAATCCTACCCTAAAGCACCTGCCACGTGTCAGCATGTGGAGCTAGGGATTAAAAAATAAGTAAAATAAAATAAAAAGAGGTAGGAAGAAACCTACAACCATGGTTGACAAAGACAAAAGTGTTTCCAGAAGGAAAGAATGATTAACTAAGCTGGTGGCCTGCTCTGTCCTTTGACCACTGCTCACACTAGCTTCCTCCTAATGCCCTTTGTACTTATTCCAAACATACATAACACCAGCCTTGAAGGGTCTGCTGAACTTTCATCTTTTCCATGAAAGTTTTTCTGTCAAGGCCAACTCAGGCTAATTTTCGCTTTGCTCTCAACTTAAAAGCACTTCTGCATACCACCCACGTGGCACGAAGTTACACATGGCCCCGTCCTCTGGCTTCTCCATCAGTGGGATTATGAACCATGTAAGCAGGGGCTGGGCTGCTTCCCCGCAGTTCTAAGCACAACACGGAGCACAGAGGGTAGTCACTGAGTATCTGTGGAACGAGTATATGCCTAAATACAAAGATAGTATTTATCACAAAGGAAACATTCAGCGTTTGGCTGCAGATAGGTCAATAGGGGTTCAGTTAAATTTCCCACAAAGTCTAGATAAATAATAAATATGGTTCAGAAAAGTACCTTCAGGCATTTGAAGAGCAGAACTCAAACTAAAAATGAAGAACGGCCATAACGTTCACTAATTTACCAGGTAACAAACAAGGGTTGAGAGTCTGCCTGACACCCCTGGCCCTGTGAGGTACGTTCACTAGCACGACCTCGTTCTCTCCCCCACAGCCCTGTTGTGGGCACAGACAAAAGTGCTCTCTAATATTAACCAGTCTGGGAAAGTGAGCCTCACAGAAGCTAAGTGATTCATCCAAGGTGACACATGTACCGCGTGGCAGAGCTTAAAGGTAATCTCAGGACGGTCTGAGTTCAAGTTCAGCATGTTTTCCTGTACAACATAGCTGCCTTCCTTATACCCTTATTCCTAGTTTCTACTTAAATGCATTATAAAATCTGACTTTTAAGACTGTGGGGAGAACATTTAAGAGAAGTACAAACAAGGTGTTTACCGCACCACATATACGATTTGATCGTGACTCTCCTGTTTTAAACTTTCAATGGTTTCTATCCCCTTCCCCAACCCCTACCTACAAGGGGCCAGGTGAACAGCACACACGAGTAAAGCAAGGGAAGTGGATGGCTGTAGTACATTTGGCAGTGGTGAACTCTGGATTTAAAATATGCTGCAGCCAAAGGAAGCAGCTGTGCGGCTGATTTGCCAAAGGGCAGCCAACCATAACCTCTGGGCCTAAACAATGGGGTCAAGTCCAAACCCCCATAAAGCACTCAGGGCCCTTCACAGTCCAGCTCCAAGAGTCCCGTGTGGCCTCAGTCCCTTCCACACTCCCCACCAGGTTCCAGGCTCCAAGTCCCAGGACTTCCCAACACGCACATCCAGATGGTTCTCCCTTTTCCTGGAATACCCTACCAACCTCCCTCCTTCGCAAACTTCTCCTCCTCTCGTTTCTTCCCTACTCTGTGTTCCCAGGCACAGCCAGACCCCACTCGCCCACAGAATGTGGCATATATACGCATTTCAGCACCCTTCCCTCAAGAAGGCCACAATGACTCGTTTTAGACTGACTTCCCTTCACCAGATGGCCAGCTCCTAGAAGGCGAAGGGTCGTTTCTCTTTCCTGTTCTTGGAGAAAAGCAGAGCCTCACAAACTTTCACTACATGTTGAATAAACAGTGGGTATTGAATAATCCCCAAAGGATTATATTGACTGTTGTAGGCAGAGTAATGCCACCCTCGCAACGCATAATCCCTGGGACCTGTGACTATATTACGTGACAGGGCAAAGGAGAATTAACGTAGCAGATGGAATTAAGGTTGCTCATCAGTCCACCTTAAAATAGGGAGATTATCTAGGTAGGTAGGCCCTGCATAATCATAAGGGCCCTTAAATGTGGAAGAGGGAGGCAGAAGACAGAGGCAGCGTGATGCCATGGGAGAAGGACTCAATCCAACACTGCCTGCTTTGAAGATGGAGGGGAGGAGCCAAGGAACGGAGTCCGCCTCTACAAGTTGGGAAAGGCAGGGAAATGGATTCTCCCCTACAGTCTCCCCAGAAAAGAACACAGCCCTGCCAACACTTTGATTTCAGCCTAGGAAGTCCCATTTTGGACTTCTGCCTACAAGACCATAAGATAATAAATTTTGTTGTTTTAAGCCACTGGATTTATGGTCACTTGTTACAGCAGCAAGAAGAAACTAATACACCTTATCTTAGTGTAAGCTGCTGTGACACAATCCCACAGGCTGGGTGGCTTACAGGACAACACAGTCTCACAGTTCTGGAGGCTGGGAAGTCCCAGATCAAGGTGCCAGGAGATCGGGGGTGTGGCGAGAACCCTTCTCCCAGTCTGCATAGAGCTGCCTTCTTGCTGCACCCCCACGTGGTGGAGAGGTGTCACCTCTCCTGTGTCTCTTCTTATAAGGTCATTAATCTCATTCATGACCTGATCACCTCCCACCGGCCCCACCTCCTCCCACTATCACACTGGGAATTAGGGCTTCAACATATGCATGGCGGGGAGGGGGGAGGTGCGGCACACAAACATTCAAAGTAGGTTAACAGGGTTTTTTTTGTAGGAGTCATAAAGTTTTCCGTAAAAAGTTTTAACAAGTCCAAAGGAATCTAGCACATAGGCTAGATCCACTGCCCACCCCCCACGGCCCCCCACCCGCACCTCTAGCTGGCTGTAGTCTACCAGGTTACAATGGTGCAACGGGGTGAGTGTCAGCGGCAAGAAGACCCCACAGGCATCTCAAAAAACATAATTAGAAGAGGTTTCACTTCAAGTATAACAAATGCGATCCCAATTTCTCATGTTCTGTAATGGCAAACTTCTACAAAATAAATTTATTAAAACAAACTGAAGCTTGTTCAGTATTAAATGGAATTCTTGGTAAATTAAGAGGTATTAATTACTGACTTAACAATATCAGTATAACTCAATACTTAACGTGAGGATAATGAACAAAATAATATTTCAAATGCATAAATGAGCAGTAAGATTTCTGTAGGTATTTGACAGCCTTGAAATTCTATCAGATTCCTAAAATAAATACATACATACAAAAATCACAACAAATCAATAAGAAAAAAAATTTCAATAGGTCTTTGATTTATCTAAATAGACATCCTTAAGTCCCAAATAGCATTATATGATAGAGCTATCTTCATCATGAACGATTTGACAGTTTAATCACACGACCACCACCATCTTTGTAAAGATTCTTGGCCAAGCTCTGATCTGTTCACTGTTGTGCTTAGTCCTATTTTTGAGAATAAACTGCCAAAGATAGTGTATTTCATATGATTCTGATATGGCCCTTATGTTTTCAAAATTGTAGAGGTTGAGTACTTGTATGCTTTCCATTTTGAATGCTTCTACACATAGTGCTCGTTTTAAAAGAACCACTCGTATGTGTGTATCCAAAGAGAATGCCTCTTACTTTTAAAAGGAGAAAGGCCATTCCAGTGTTAAGTCTGACATGGAAATCAGAGTAAAATGAAAGTCTTATTGCCCCGTAAAGATCTGAAACTAGGGTCGATTTCTTAGTCTTGGTATCACTGAATGACATGGGGAGGAGGGCAGGGAGAGGGTCCTGGGAGGAAACAAGAGGTCACTGGAAAAGTCTGTGGGATCGGTGGGTGACAAAATGCAGGGGCTAAAACCAGGGAGTGTTCTGGGGGCTGAGCCAGGCTGTGGGGCGCATCACAGCCTCGGGCAGATGAAGGACACACCATCTTCATAGCTCTGTGCCTCTGTGACTGCTCTTCTTCTGCCTGCTTTCTTTATTCCAACTCCATGCCACCAGAAGAATCCCTGTTCATCCTTCCAGGTTCCACCTAAACGTCACCTCCTCCATGAAGCCTTCCCTAACACCTTCCTTAGTATTTTACAGATACCCATTAGCACTTCCCATAGAACATTAGAAGTATTTACCTGTGACCCCCCACTAGACTTCAGCTGAGTTCCTTGAGGTCAGGATGTATGCCCTATTCAT